ACGAATTTTCCAACGGATTTATCCGTTGGAAATTTTTCAACGGATTTTCAACGGTTTTCAACGGCATTTCAACGGTGATTTCCGTTAAAAATCCGTTGAAAATTTCCAACGGATATCCGTTGGAATCGCCCGTTGGAAATTTTTAACGGAATTTTCAACGTATTCAATTGAAAAAATTGGGTTGAAATTTTCCAACGGTATTTCCAACGGATATCCGTTGGAATTTTTTTTGGAAATTTAAATCCGTTGGAAATCCGTTGGAAAATTCCAACGGATTGCGGTTGGAAATCCGTTGGAAAATTCCAACGGATTGCGGTTGGAAATCCGTTGGAAAATTCCAACGGAAAAATTCGTTGAAATTCCGTTGAAAATTCCAACGGTTTTCCAACGGACACCGTTTTCTAACGACGAAATTCCAACGGATTTATCCGTTGGAAATCCGTTGGAAACGTTAATTTCCAACGGAAATTTGGTCATTTCCAACGGATTTGCCCGTTGGAAATGACCATTTTTTTTGTAGTGTACTGGGTTACCTGGGTGAGATGGATGAGGGTCTGTTGAAGAAAAATGAAATATAAACGATATAGGATTTGAAATATTAAGGGGAAAAAGCTTGATTCAATGGAGATTTTATTTAAAAAAAAATAAAGAGAATAAAAACAGAATATGAAACCTTACCAGCGAGCCGTCTTCTCTCAGGGAGGAAGAGGGAGGAAGAAGAACTTGGTAATGGTGAAATGCCGTTTGGGGTTTTACTTTTTGACAGTACCTTCATTTTTTCAATTTTTTTTTATCTTTTTTTTTAATGTGCAAACATGAAAAATATTTTTTTAAGTGATTATGAAAAAATATTGTGATCTTAAAAGCTTAATAATGTCTATTATATAAATATAGGATCTAAAAAACATTAAAGACGTATTACCCCAAAAAAATTAAATTAGGTTGTATGAACAATCCACTTATTGGGTATTAATTTTATAATCACAAATGCACGGATTTAAAAACCAATATTTTAGCAACGTCTCATATCACGTGTCGAAATGTCCATTTTGTATTTATACATATATTCTAAAAAGCAAAATTCTAGAGACATTCCAATTTGTTTTTATAAAGATGATTCCCTTTATGTCCTTGTACCGGTGTTCCGCAACTAGACACAATTTTATAAAATTAATTACACCCAATTTTCTAAACTCAGGTGATTTTAATATTCTTTTCACAAATTTGATTTTATTAACTTCTTTAAATCCCTAACGTAAACTCATTTCTCTAAATCGATCTCTATAAATTCTAAAAACTACTTTTCAACTCCCTCAAACCCCTTGTCAAGTTTAATTATATATTTTAACTCTCATCCTCTCAATCCATGATCCTAATATTCTTTTTTACAAATTTAAAACTTTTTCAAATCGATCAAATTTTCTTATCTCTGTATCGAAATCTAAAATTTTTAACAATTATTTTAAACTACCTCCAACTCATTGTCTATTTTAGTGAACTTGTGGGTATCCGTTTATGAATATCCAATATTTTATATATGATTTTTTATATGTTACAATTCAAAGTTCAATTAGATAAGTTCATAAGGTAAATTTTTTCGGATTTTCTCTGAAAGTAATGAAGAATTAATATGAAATGAAGGGATATATAAAATGAAATTTGCAAATTATTCAAAAGGAACCGAATTGGATCCCATGTACACTTTGTTAAATTTCTTCGCGAAGCAAGAAAGATAGTGTCCCATGAAAATGAAAGTCGCTTTCACATGAATTTTTCTATTATTTCCTTTCATACCTTTTGGTCTTTTTTTATAATGTATATGTAGATACTTACAAATTGATACGTTTCTATACATTGGTCGTTATCACATAATAATGAAAAATTGCAGTTTTCTGTCTCTATCGAATTGGGCATGTAAAGATGTCTGTCCTTTAACCGTCTGCATTTAATCGTTGGACAGAATATTGTCTGATATTCGTTTATGAGCAGACTCGTCAAGGGTAAACTGCTAATCCAATCTATGAACAGAAATCGTAAGGGGAAATGGGTCTTATTCTATGTACGGTACCTGGCTCGGGTTAAAGCTCATCAAGGGCACGGACCAAAGGGGACAACAGTGGGTGGGAAGTCTCTCCGCTGGCCGGCCAGAGAGCAATAGGCCAGTATATGGGGAGGGTGTTCCACCTCTCTCACCACTCCAAGGTGATTCACCTCCGGGATTCTCCTCGCGGGAATCAGCTCGATGTTCCAGAAGGGACGGGCCATCGCCAAGAGATCCTGTCCCGTGGCAGATGCCCTGTAGCCTTGCACCCAGAGGTACCTCAGCGATTTCAGCTTCGTCACCGCAACAGCTATCGCATGCTCGCTAAAGCAACAGCCTCTCATCTCTAGCTTCTGTAGGCTGCGACACCCGGTCGAGAATTCCAACAGACCCTCATCCGTCTCGCCCAGGTACCCCAGTAGCATCCATCTCACATTCGGGCTGTACTGCCCGATGTAACTCAGACCCGTGTTGGTTAGACCTCCCGGTCTGAGATAGAGGGCGAACCTTCTGAGCTTCTCGCATCCCCTCAAGAGGGCTCGGACCCCGTTGTCCAGTGGCAGGTCCGTAATTCTCTTTTCCCGGTCCAGCAGCACGAGGCGGAAGTCGCAGAGATTCTTAAGGTATGCACCTATGCTTTGTAGAGATTGGTTATCGATGTCAGAGACGTAGATAGCCATGTATTCTAGCTCCAGGCAGCCTTGGGCCAGAGCGATCAATCCTCTCTGCGAGACTAAGCCTTCTTCATCCTCCATTCCTATTTCATCCGCTCCTCGTTCGATCCTCAGCCGCTTCAATCGTTTGCAGTGCTGAGCGACAACCTCTAGTCCTCGATCTCCGATTACATCCCTCGCCTAAAACACAAACGGCATCTTCAACATTACATGTATAGGAGGGAACCGATGAAAGATGGAAGGTTAGATCTTTTCTTTACCTCGAGGACTTCCAGATTAGGACATTTCTGGATTAAAGTACAATGATCCTCAGTGTTCAGCAGTACATAGAGCAAATCCAACTTCCTTAACTGGGCAGCAAATGGAAATATTATGGGCATTTCCTTTGCGCCCATGTAGGAGAGACCCAAACGGGATAGTTGTGGTGGGAAAGGCAGATTCAAGTACTTGTCAGGTCTGTCGGCATCTTCATGGAAAGAGCCACCGCAGAACTCTTCAAGATTAGCAGCAGCCTTGAAAAACCCGACAAGGTTGAGAATCTCACAGTCGCCGAGCTTCAAAGAAACCAGGGAGGGGCAGTTTCTAGCAATGGTCTCCAGGTCCCGGGGGTTGATCTTCGCAAGATCCGTCATATAAAAGTTTAAAACCTCAAAAGAAGTGTCGTGCAGAGCAAATTCACTAAGCCATTCACCATCCTTTTCGATAAAAGAACTTTCTTCCATGAGCAACGTCCTTATCTTCCTATGAATATGATTTGTTCGAGCAAATCAGATTTCTAAAATGAAATCTGTCCAAATATAGTAAGGATGTCATGGAAATGGAAAACAAAGAAACAAGAATAGTAAAGATAATATCCCCAAAGGCAATAACCATATCCATAAACGTCAATCAGTGGCAATGAAGGCAGAAACGAATTCTTTCTTCAAGTAAGGCTATAAACTCTTTCTTGATATACCCTTTTCTTCAAAATCAATCCACAAAAGCATTTGCACAGTTCATTTGCAAGAAAAAGAATCATTGTGAGAAACAAAAACTGGGAAAGATGCCATTTTGGCATTACTGTCATATCTTTCAAGCAAATAATTTCCAGCCCACTTTTTAGGTCAGAGTGTTGAAAATGGAGTGATAAAGATCAAAAGCATATCAGAAAGAACATGGCAGCATGAATCTTGATGGGAATGGACAGAAATACAACGAGGCAGATGAGAATCATATACCTGCAGTGTCGAGCGAGGCTCAAAAGTCCATCAGTGGAGAACCCAGAGCATTTATCGAGTTTCAGAACCTCGAGCTCGTCCCTTTTCGCCTTCGCCAGAAGATCAAGATCCAAGTCACTGACGATCATTCTCCGGAAGTGAACCGATTTGAGCCGCCGGAAAGAGGTCATGATTTCGTACACCCATGGGGTAACATACCCTCCCCAGTTCTCAGGGATCAGATTGAACATGGCGGCTCTGGGCTTGCCCTTTAGCTTCAGCGACCTCAGGTTCGGAAAGCGGCGGCTCAGGCGCTCGGGCTTCGCCGTGTAACAGAGAGCCATCGTCACGTGTTCCCTCGTGTCGGCGTCGACCTTCCACCATCTCCGGCAGACTAGCGACGCAGAATCACGGTCCTTTGGATCGATTATGTAAGGCATCACTATCTCGATGACGTCATCTATCGTCGCGCTGTTCAATCTACACTTCTTGTTATCCGAATCCTCCATTGCCAACAACACCGAAAGAATTAAAACCCCCGCCAAATCCTGAGAGAATCCGGTAACATTCCGATCGATTACAGCAACGAGATCGCTACCCAATCGGAAAAGAGAACTGATTCCGAGCAAATCCACCCAAAGAACAGAAACAACAAAAATGCCCGAGATCCAAAAGAAAACCTGACCCTGAAACAGGGGAGACCAGAAAGAAGAACAAGAGGAGAAGCTCAGGACTCGGAAACGTTCCGATTCACCGGAAAAACAGTGACGGAGAAGAACTCCGAAGAGATCTGTAGCGAACGGCGGCGGCGAAATGGAGCAGAGGAGGACACGCGGAGCAAGAAGAGACGGGTTGAATCGAACAAAGTGGAAAGGAATTTTTTGTTAGTAATATATTCAAGTGGAAGTGAAATTTCCCCTTTTCTGTTAGGCTGAATATTTTAATATTTAGCCTAATAGAGATGGACGGATGAGATTGGATTATGTAAAAGCATCTGACGGTCGATATTGAATTAGACGAGAGCTTTCATTGTGTGGATCACGACAAAATAGGGGAGAGTCACCAATAATTTCAGTGGAAAAACAACAATATTCATATATAAAATTTTTAAAACATGAAGATATATTTATAAAAATTGATGAATTATGATAAAATATATAAGACAAAAGAGATAATAAGAGACAAATAATAATAAATTTAATTTTTTTGAATTAATATTAAAAAAATATGAAATTATTTCATCTAAAATAATTGTATTTTATAAAAATGTTATATAAATATAAGATATAATTATTTATAATCATAATACGCGGGTACCCGCGGATATCCGGTTTTAAAAATTCTATTATCCGGATTTGGATCCGGATTCACGGGTATTGAAAAATAAGGATTTGGATTCGGATTTGAAAATTACGAGTACCCTAAAATCGGGTATCCGTGAGACGAGTATCCGACGGATACCCGATTTTCGGGTATTTGTGCCCAGCCCTAAGTGACACCCGAAATTCTAAGACCTCTAATCCCCAAGTTTTTTTTTTCTTCAGATTTCTGTTATCTTGCATAATTATAATAATACATTATAAATACTTTATAGGCATCCAAATCTTTTTCTCTATTAGTCTATCACAAAGTAAATTCGAACGGAATCGAAATAAATTTAGTTGGTTAGGAATATTTAGAAAACTAAATCGGTCTAAAATCGAAAGAAATTAAATTTAAAATAAAAATAGAAAATTCAAATTGGACTTATAGCTCTTTGAGCAAAAGAACGATAAAATTTATTATTCTCTCCATTTCATTTTAGATGTCGTTTAAAAATTAAACAAAATAATTATTTACCCAAAATATCTTTAGAAAATTGTTATTTCTAAATATATATAACATTTCAACATTATTAATTAGGGATAAATTTAGAAAAAATATTAAAAATTAAACGAAAATCTCAAAACATTATGTATTTTGAAACAAAAATATTATTGTAAAACGTCATCTAATATGAAACGGAGGGAGTGTTTTTATTTTACGAAGATTTTTGTCAAACTGATCCTAAATTATTCTCTTATTTCTTTTTTTTTTATTCAAATGTGTTATTCTCTATGGTTAGGTTAGAGTTTTATTGGGTGCGATGATATATGCTAGCTTTTTTCTAGAAGTTTAATTCAAATGTAAAATAAGAGACGATAAATTTAAAAGGCGAAGGAAATTAGGATAAGAAATTTAAAAACCGAATCGAACCGAATTATAATCGAATAGTACCGGACCGGTAAACCCGAAGAGTCAACGGCCTCGTTTTACATGGTTGGAAAACCCAAAGAGTCAAGACTCAAGACATTGTCCTTTCACAGCCTAAATGATATAATGCCCAAATTACACGTCATTTAGTGATATATATAATTTGACAATTGTGGTAAGTTCATATATATGTGAATCAATACAATGTATATAATAACCAATAGCAATCCTATAAGAGGAAATATTTCAATTTCAAACAATATGATGATAGTCTATTAAAATTCTTTCCACCTATGAATTAACTGAATCAATTTGTGTGTGGATTCAAATACATTGCTGAATTATTTAATCTTTTTGAAAATCAATAACTAATGACAAATTATACCCAAAACAAATATGAAAATGGGTTCTTCCCTTTTTCAACTTTATGCAATTTACTTCATAAAAGAAATGTCCGTTCACAATAGTTTACTATTTTGGACAATTAAATTCAAATCTAATAATAAATGTAGAAAAAATTTAGTAAATTATAAATAAAAAAGTGTCAAATACTTTTATAATTTCTGATTTTATATCCGGGGAAAGAATCTGAATATGGAGGTAGTGAATTGGTGAGGGAGCTGCATTCTTTATCAATTTTTTTTTGTAACAAATTATTTTGCACCACCTCAAATACTTTTAGTCTCCGATATTAACATTTTTTTTGGGCAAATCCGCCATTAACATTTTATTAATCATCGCTTCACATCAGCACATTTATGTAACCATCACTTCTTCGTCACGTAACGCATAAACTCCTGATCGGATTCGATGGCAGCCATTGTTTCCGGCGCCAAAATCACCTCCAGATCAACGCTCCCGTCTCCTTCCCTCCCCGGAAACGCCGATATCTTCCCGTCGAACTTGTTCGCCCTCCCGCTCCGCACTGCCACCGGCCTCCCCCACCCGAAATCGTTGTCGTACATCGGAAATCTCGGCGACGATCCCATCGTGATCGACGCTCCGTCGAAGTTCCCCAGGGGGAAACACCTCGGGTTCTCCTCCCACTCTCCGACCACGCTTCTGATCTTCCCGTCGTCGTGCGCCGTCACGCTCCGGTTAATCTGCTCGGCGCACCATCGTAGATCCCGCGACAGTACCTCTCCGGCCGCTGCGTGAGTCGGGATGCTCTGTATCGCGTTGCCGAAGTAGTACGGGTCCAGCTTTGGGCTCAGACGTTGACGGCAGTTCACTGCCATGCGAAACGTCGTCGTTTTCGAGCTTGGAAGCTTCCTTGCTCTCGTGATCGCTCGCCATAGCAGAGCACAGAGAGACTGAAACGACGAAATCTCCTTGTCCGTGACCGAAACGGCGTCGTGTCTCCCGAACAGAGACTCCAACTTCTCCGTCAGTTTGGCGTTATCTTTCCCGTTAAGTGTGTCGTTGCTCTGTTTCCCCATTACCTCAACGCCGTCAACCGCCGTTATCACGCAACACCCAGGGTAATTTCTTCTTGTTGTTATTGTTAACCGTCGCCTTGATCTCCGCTATCGCTTCTCTGCTGAAACTCAGAATCCGTTCCCGTAACGGCTCGTTGGCGTTGAAGGTGACCTTGGGCCCGCCCGGTGGGACTTTGAGCACAGCCTGTGAGATTAGCACTGACTCCCGTGTAAAATCCGGCTGACGTGTCGCCGTCGTCCCTCCTCTCGAGACCTCCGCGAACGTGTTGAAGAAATTCCAGAACGATGTTCCGTCGGTGACGGCATGATTGACGGAGCAACCGATGAAGACGCCGTCAGCGAGTTCCGTCACCTGAACGGCAAGGATCGGCCTGTAATGACCCTCGTAGCTCACAGCCCCGTCAACCGAGAAAAACCCCTTGACAACTTCAGGAACGTCGGTTCCTCCGATGACGTCACACACGTGAAGGGACTTAGCGTCGGCGAAGACGAATTCGGCGCCGAAATCGTTGCAGGCGACGAAGACGTGGCCATCGCCGTCGGTGATGAGACGGCCGGCGAGTGGAGGGAAGCGGGAAAGGGCGACGGAGAGGGAGTGCTTGAGGTGGTGGAGGAGGTCGTGGTCGTCGCTGTGGCGCGTGAAGAGACAACCCTTCTGGATGTAGTGGCAGGAGAGCATGGGTAGGTCGGAGACGGAGAGCTTCAGGTCAACGAGCGTAGACTTTTGGTCGGGGACGACGGTGCATCTGGATATCACAGTGACCGAGTTCTCGAGCGATGGCATTTTCGTGAATTTGTTGGGACCAAAGGGTTTTTCGGTATTTTTTTCGGAGGTGAAACTCAGTGTCTCTTCGTGAGGAAACTAGCGAGAGTGGGATGGCGTATTTATAGAGGAGATAGAAGAGCAAAGATTCATGAATCTGGTGATGAGTTGGATAGGTTTTGTTTGGTTTTAGTACTTTTATTTGTTATTTTTATTTCATTTTCTTTTTTTCCATATTTACATAGATATATATGTCTATTTAAATTTTATATAACTAGTAAATTTGTTGAAATGCACAAAAAGGATTAAACTTTTTCTTTTTTAATCAAGTCTCTTGCTTAATGTTTTCCTGTGAGAATTTAATGCTGGTATTATCTGCATTTCTAACCATTTACTGTTCCCTGTCCACGTGTCTAACCATTATATGTCCACGCATGATTCCAGTTGCGTTTAGCTCTAATTCCTTTGTTTAAAGGTAAAAAAATCATGTTTATTTAACAAAAAATAATCATGTTTAGCCATAATTAATTTGTTTTTAAAGTTTACAAAATTAAGTACGGATATTGTGCATTATTAAGGACCCTAATAGTTTTTATTATTCATGTCATAAATCTAGATGTTGTCCTCCACGTGTAGAATTTAAAATGTTGTATTTACTTTAGAGGAAATTTTCTTAATAATAAAAAACGGTTGGCAATATGTTTCTTTTTCGTATATATATATGTGTGTGTCACATTTTTAAAAAATATTCATAACAATATTTTCATTTCTTCTAATTAAACGATAAAAGAGATTTAATATTAAGTATATTTCTTTCTATAGATTATGTTGGTGTTTTTTAAATATTGGTTCCGTAAATATATTTGTTCCAAAATGTACATTTATTCGTTCACATATAAACACAAATACAAAACCCCAACCTGTACTTCATCGTGAAAAAAAATATGAATTGTCATTTTTTTTATTGTTGTTCTATTGCATATAGACAATTAAAGATATATATCTTCAAAACATATTAGTTTAGACGGTTAACTTTAAAATACATGGATACTTCTTAATTTTCAACTGATATTTATTCAAACATTAAACGCTATAAAAAAAAACATTAAACGCTATCTTGTATTTCCTTTGAATAGTTTAATTTGATATTTTAAACGATTTATACTACACAGTTTAAATTTCAACTATTTAATTAAACACAAAGCATACAATATATGGCTACAAGATTACCAATGTAACATTTTCCGCATTATATTGTCTTGTCGTGTCATATTGTGTTGTTCGTATTCTGTCTTGATTTGACGTACTTTTCTTTTTTATGATGTGTTCTATAATCTTTACAATCGTGCCAAAAATATGTTCGATGCAGTTGCGCCGTTTGATAGTTGATAACGCCAAATAAATATTAATAGACAGAATAGAAAAGTAAAAAAAAAAAAAAGATAGATGCGTTTTATAAATATATATTGGAGAG